AAGATACAGTTGAAACTAACCCAGCTTAGTGTATTGTGGGAATGCAGTTACGTTTACTTGGCCTGTTAAGGGTCTTGTGTGAATATATGTGCAGTGAAGGTCAACAAAGATGATAAAGGGACTGGAGGCTAAATTGTATGATGAATCGTTGAGGAAACTAGGTATGTCTAGCCTGTTGGGGAGAAGGACTAAGGGTGACAGTATTGAGGGACTATCGCAGAGAAGAAGGGGTTGACTTATCCTCCAAAGCACCAGAGGGCAGGACAAGAAGAAATGGGTAGAAGCTTGTTAGAGATTCAACCCAGAAGTAAGGAGAAATTTTCGAACAGTGAGAACAATTAATAGAATAGCTTGTCTCCTGGAGTTGTGGGTGCTCCATCACTGGAAGTTTTGAAAAATAGACAGGACAACCATTTGACTGGGATGGTATAAGTTCTCCTGTCTTGAGCAGGGGGATGGACTAGAAGACCTCCAAGATCCCTTCCAGCCCTATGGTTCTATGTTCTATAGCTGGGGTGCTGGGGTGGAGGAGCTGCACCAAAATTGAAGTAATTCAGTATTTTTCTTCCTCTCCCCTCTCCAAATAACCCTGCCACCCATATTTCCATTGAAGGCATTCCATTCCAGGTTGTTGGTTGGGAGCTCCTAAGGTTTCTTTCTTACCAGGGGAGGCCAATGGCCTGCTTTGTCAGTAATTCTGCAGTGTGCAGCATTTGGACAAAAGCCCAGAGATGTTTCCAACACTTTCAGAGCTCTGGAGAGTGGAAAAGAACTCCATCGAACCAGCATCCAATCACAGTTTGCAGGGCGAACATTGCCACAAGGTAACTCCGGGACCGCAAGATGTGATAATTGGAAGAGATTCAAAGCCATATTTCTCACTGACATAGGCATTCTCTAACTGATTGGCAGCAAAGGAGAAGGCCAGGCTGAATAATCTTCCAAGAAAAATACAGCCTGGTAGATAGTGAAGTGACACCTTCACTCAAAAGCAGATAAGCTGTTCCCGGGCCCATCTCTGCACATTTCAGCTTAGAATAGCACAATTGCCCAGCCTCAATTCCCACCATCCTGGAATCTCTGGAAGGCTTTGCTGGAGAACAGTTGTGGCCAGCTGCTTTCCACAGAAGACCTGAACATCGTGCGAGTCCAAAGGAGGGCTGAGAAGACTTCTGCAGATCCTCACATCCTGGGCAGAAACTGTCTCGTCTCCTCCCCTCAAGGTCCCTTCCAGCCTCATGATCGTATGTTTCTATATTCTAAAGTAGATGCTTCTCCTTGGGCTCCTAGTCCAAGAAACCCTTTCGTGAAATTAATTAATCATTTTGGAGCCTGTCAGATCCTGTTTCTCTTGCTCTCTCTGTTTTCCTTTTAAATCAATTTTTGGCAGTTACTCTTATCAAGGGTTTAAAATTAGAAAGGGGAATATGGAACGTTTAGTTGTTCAAAGCAAAATTTAATCAGGAAGAAATACACACCTGTCTACCTGGAAACGAATTAAAAATAATTGAGTTGCAAAGATGTGCTTGACCAACATAGTCCTTTGATGAAGAGTGTCTCCCTAAGTTTACAAATGGAGCTTTCTTTCATGAAAGGGACACTTCCTATTCTGACCTGGAAGAGGTCCCTTCCGTGCTGTGTCCTTGGCGGCATCAACAGTGGGACAGTATCAAGATCACATAAGATAATAGTATCTCTTTATACTGCACTGGTGAGACCACAATTGGAATACTGCATCCAACTTTGGTTACCATGACACAAAAAAGATGCTGAGACCCTGAAAGTGTGCACAGCAGAGCAACAAAGGTGATAAAGGGTCTAGACACCAAATCATATGATGAACAGTTGAGTTAGTTCTAGGTTGTTTTTTTGATCAGATTTTTGTATTTGCATTGAAAATTACCTAACTGTCCAACATCTACAGTTTCTTCAACCTGGTGCTCTTTTGATGGCAGCTTCCCGATTTCCTGTCTGGTTGTTGTTGTTAGTTGCGAAGTCGTGTCCGACCCATCGCGACCCCATGGACAACGTTCCTCCAGGCCTTCCTGTCCTCTACCATCTTCTGGAGTCCATTTAAGCTCACTCCTACTGCTTCAGGGACTCCATTCAGCCACCTCATTCTCTGTCGTCCCCTTCTTCTATTGCTCTCCATCTTTCCCAGCATTAGGCTCTTCTCCAGTGAGTCCTTCCTTCTCATTAGGTGGCCAAAGTATTTGAGTTTCCATTTCAGGATCTGGCCTTCTAAAGAGCAGTCAGGGTTGATCTCCTCTAAGACTGAGCTCTAGGGGACTCGCAGGAGTCTTCTCCAGCACCATAGTTCAAAGGCCTCATATGACATGTGGGAGTTGCCTTTTACTGGCTGATTTTGCACAAAGACAGTTAAAGATCCAGCACATAGCCCACCATTTGCAATTCGTCACTTACGGTAGTGACCAAAGTTACAATGACTCCCCCCTCATGTGACCATGATTTATGATGCTTTTGCCTAAAACCAGCATATAAGTGCTATTGCTATTCTCCTTTGCCCTTCCAATCACAGAACATCCAGTGCCAACTTTCCCTAAGGCTGCTTTAACCTCATGCTTCTCCATGACATGTCATGTGTGTGCAAGCCTGCAGCAGTGATTCAGAGAGCATGAGTGAGCCACACTCATTATTTTTCTGAGGCTGATAAACCACTTCCCAGGGGACAGTCCACCTGTTCTGCCAGGAGCCATTCAAGCCCGCTGGATGAGAAACCCCGTGGTTTATGGGCAGGTGTGAACCAAAGCTTTCCTAGGACCACAAAGCTCAAATTCCCCCCCCCTCGAGACAGCAGGGAAGAATGGCTGTTTCTCAGCACAACGTTGCACTCCAAACTGCGGTGGAATAATAAAGAAACAGAGGATCGAGATGAGGATAATTGTTGGTGCTTCCAGGAATAAGTTCACAGCTAAACAACCCCCATAATTAGCGAACACAGCTGGGGCATCTGAAGGGGATGGAACTGTGTCAGCAAATCAGCTAAGAATTGCACAGCACTTGTAGGCATCTACTTGGAAGTAAATCTCTTTCAGCCTGATAACAGAGACGGTGGCATTTCTGCACAGCTACAGTTAATAAATCAGGTTTTTCTACCCAGATAAATATGCGTTCCTCTTTAGGTGCAGGATTCAAAGCTAGTTAATGCAAATGTTGATCCAATGCTAAATGGCCATCTTAGGAGTCTCCCCCTCCTTTTTTTGATGTCTGTCATTATTTTATCATTTTGATTTGTTTTAACCTTCGTTTAATTTTTATTTTCTAATGTTTTAAGTTTTGTACATTGTTTTATTTATTGGTTCTATTATATTGGACAGTGCCCAGAGCCCCTCTTTGGAGTAAATGGGTGGTTTAGAAATATGAACTATAAATAAACAAATCCCTGTTTACGTTCAGCTAAATGCTGGCGGAAAATTTAAATGCGTATTTTCACACAGTGTCAGGCATGAAACACCAGGTCCACATACAAAGGCTCAGTTAAGCTATGATTTATTGCTAAAGGTCTGAGCACAGGAATCGTCAACACCTACTTAGAATTACATAAAAGTTAACAGCAGTCAAGGGGAGTGGGGCCTAGTTTACTTGTGGCTACACAGAGATTCTAGGCTGATCTCTTCTTTCACTCTGCCCTAGGTTCTGCCATCCTTTTTCCTACACACTTTCCCCCTTCTCTAGAGTAATGCAGAAATTCACTCAAACAAACCAAGAAATAAATCCTGGGAGACAGTGATGAAACAAACAAGGGCCGTTCTTAATTTGGAAAATCCCTCCCATTAATATATTTGTCTGGTGCTATAGCAGTGGTGGCGAACCTATGGCACGGGTGCCAGAGGCGGCACTCAGAGCCCTCTCTGTGGGCACGTGCGCCGTCGCCCCAGTCCTAGGCCTTCACCTGGGTTTTATAAAACCTTTTCGCTTTAGGCCTCCGCCGCCGTGTGCAAAAAAAGAAAAAAAAAGGCTCAATCAGTCAATTTCAACTTCTCGTGGGGAAAAAAAAGATCTTGCCAAGTTGGAATTGATTGATTGAACTTTTTAGTCCCACCCAGTCTGCCGTTACCACTGCAGCCACGCCCACCCAATGGCCCATGCCCAGCCAATGGGCCACACCCACTCGGCACTTGACGATGCATAAGTGGGTTTTGGGTTGCAGTTCGGGCACTCAGTCTCTAAAAGGTTCGCCATCACTGTGCTATAGGGAAGTTTGAAAGAGAAAGTGGGGGAAAGTCTTCACTTGGCTAGGGAATAATATCCTGGATATTATGATTCTCCTGGTCTGAATGTACACCAAATATCACTTCCTGTTTTGGGACATTCCCATGGAAAGCTAAAGCTTTAGAGTAAGGGCGGGCAACTGTGGCAACTTTACAACCTGTGGACTTCAAGTCCCAGAATTCCTGAGTCAGCATAGCTCAGAGAGCACCAAGGACCCCTCATTTCAGCCCTGAGCTGAAGAGGGAGTCAAGCTCTTCTCCAAAGCGCCTGAAGGCAGGACAAGAAGCAACGGATGGAAACTAATCAAGGAGAGAAGCAACCTGGAACTAAGGAGAAACTTCCTAAAAGTGAGGACAATTAACCAGTGGAACAACCTGCCTCCAGAAGCGGTGAATGCTCCAACACTGGAAGTTTTTAAAAAGAGACTGGACAGCCATTTGTCTGAGATGGTGTAGGGTTTCCTGCCTGAGCAGGAGGTTGGACTAGATGGCCTCCAAGGTCCCTTCCAACTCTATTATTATGACTGTTATTGCTATTGTTATTATTATTAAATATTCTCTTTATCAAAACTGCAGTATCCAATACATAGTGTAAGGTGCATCCATTAGAAATACATTTGCAGGGCAAAATTCAGCTGGACAGGCCAAGTGAAGCAAGTTCTCAAGCCCTTCCCATGAAAATTCTCAATATATCATTGAGGACCACGAGGCAGGCGAGATTTTTTGCACTGAAACCATTTCTTCGCTGCTATCTAGACTGTGACTCACCCGTCTTTCTTTATCCCCGTATTCTATGCCCAGCGTGTCCATGGCACGGACAATAGCTGCCAAGGATTGAATAGTGTTGCTATAGATTACAGGCTTGTACTGCTTCACGTCTTCTCCAGAAAAGCCATCTTCATGGATGATCCTTGGTGGGGAGAAAACAAAAGGCTTGGTTAAGGTGGAAGAAGAGAGAGCTTCATCAAAAATAAAATGGTTTTCCTGGGTGTCTTATATGGACGCCATGCAGAAACAGCCCCTCTGGTGCATACGGGGGTTCATAAATAAAATTATTTCATTACGAAGCGGCTAAGGGATGTGTGTGAATGTCCTGACTTTGGTAACACCCTCCTCCTGCTCCACCTCGTGCTCTACAGCAGAGGTCCCCAACCTTTTGGGCACCAGGGACCGGTTCCGTGGAGAGAGGTTTTTTCCACGGACCGGAGGGCGCGTGGTTTCGTGTACTGCCTGCATCCCATGGATGGGGCTTTGCTTGTTTGCGCGGACCGGTTGCTGGCATCCCGCAGCCTGGTGCCGATCCACAGACTGGGGGTTGGGGAGCCCTGCTCTACAGCTTCTCTTGCTTCTCTTGAAGCCAAGGAAGATACCAGAAGGGAAGATCTCCAGTGGGTATTTTTGAAAAAAAAATAAAAGAAGTAGGAACCGCCACACACATTGCAGAGTGATTCAAAGAAGTCCAGCAGAAAACACAAATGCTACAGTTGCCCCATCCACCATTTGCAATGATCCACTGGGGGGAAAATTCAGAAGCAACCCTTGAGCCCTCGTCACCCAAAGAGGTCGGTGGTTCCCTTTTAGTCAGGTTGTTTATTTATTTACAGGACGTATATGGCTCCCTAGGAGCATGGCGACTTGGGTGGGTGGAACACTGGGCAGGAGGTGAGCAAGCCCACGTTGAGACCGAGAGCTGCTGTAGGGCGGGGTTGAGCTCCCATCCTTCACTCCAGCTTCTGCTGGGGACATGAATGGAGCCCCCAATTGGGCATCCCCAGGGCGACGGTGACACCACCAGCTAATCCTTTCAACCCGGAAGCACTGCCTATCTCATGAACAATAACTCTGGTACATCGTAGGATTCGGGCTAGCTCCATCAGAGCAACCTTCTCTAAGACACGTGCCAACTGCAGACCCCCAATTTCTCAACCATCGGGGTTCCCCAGCTGGCTGCAGAAACATCTGCACTGCCCTCATTAGGGACGCTCTCCCCTGGACATTCGGAAAGGCCAACTGTGGAGAAAGTGGGGAGGGACAATTATGCCCCATCTCTGCTCTTTCTTGCTGTGTTGTTTATCTCTCTTTCTCCTGCTTCTCCTTGCCTCCTAAGGGCTTCTGCTCCTCCTCTGCCCAACCCTTAGGGGAAATTAGCAGCTAAAGGAGAGAGGTAATAAGCATCGATAAACAATCAGTGGGCTTCAAATCCCAGGAAATTTTTGCCAACTTTTCTCCAGAGGATTTCAGAGAATTCATAACAGTGGAAGATGGACAGAAAGCAGAGTTGGCATCAAAGGCGCCCAATATAGAAGTAAAAACAAAGGCTCAGAGCTCTTGGTTAGGAATTCCTTGGAAAAAATGCCCATAAATGATTAAGAGGTGTTATCTCTCCCCTTTGGTACGTAAAACTTGGGGGGGGGGCAGGTGCCTCTTCAGGCAGCTGTAGACAATAATCCATGTGTAATAATGATAAAAAAATTAAGCCCGGCTGAACTCTCAAGAGATTTCACATTTGGTGAGATTTTGGCAACCTCACCTCTCGGCTGTCATGTGATAACCCTGGAACCTCCTGAGATCCGGTGATAGCCTGAGATTTGAGTAATTAAATATTAAAATATATTTTTCACGGAACATCAGAACACACGTTGGGGTTCCGTAATGGACTGGTAGAAACACACAGGCTTGGCCACGCGAGGTTTGCAGGGAGGGTCCAAAAAGGATGGTGCTTGCAGTTGGCTGATTGAAACTGCACCTCTTTTTAGGTGGCTTGCATGAATAGCCATGCTTAGCCGCAAGATGAGTTACTAGGAACAAAAAAAAGGGAGGGGGGGAAGAAAGGGAGAAAACAGAGGAAGAGGAAGGAAGGAGATAGGAGGAAGGAGGAGGAGGTGGAAAGGAAGGAAAGGAAGGAAAAGAAGGGAGATGAGAAGAAGGAGGAAGGAAGGAAGGAAGGAAGGAANGAAAGAAAGAAAGAAAGAAAGAAAGAAAGAAAGAAGGAAGGAAGGAAGGAAGGAAATAAAGAAGGAAGAAAAAGAAGAAGGAAATGGGAAGAAAAAGGAAGAAAGAAGATGGGAAGAAGAAGAAGAAGAAGAAGAAGAAGAAGAAGAAGAAGAAGAAGAAGAAGAAGAAGAAGAAGAAGAAGAAGAAGAAGAAGAAGAAGAAGAGGAGGAGGAGGAGGAGGAGGAGGAGGAGGAGGAGGAGGAGGAGGAGGAGGAAAGGAAGGAAGGAAGGAAGGAAGGAAGGAAGGAAGGAAGGAAGGAAGGAAGGAAGGAAGGAAGGAAGGAAAAAAGGAAATCTTACAGTTGTTCCAGAAAGGAATTTTTTAAAGGCAAAAGCCCTTTGGACTTTCACTGATCTATTTAAGTGTGCTATGGGAATCCAGCTATGAATTCAGCATGGTTTCTTGCTAGCGAGAGGAATAAGACTGCCAATGACGCAATTCTCTCTTAGCCGTGAGCAGATTGTCATACACTGTAACAGCTTTGGATGTCAATAGACCTATTTATTATTAGCAGGACCTTGTCCAGAAAAGATCTCAAATGTATGATTCCAAAAAACACGGCTATCCAATTTCTAGTCCTCGGACACCAAGCTCTGCAAGAAATGTACATTTTGAAGTGGCCATTCTGTTGGATATATGGAAGAAAGACACATTTTTATTACTCACAAATTCTGGAGAAAATTTTTGATTTTTAGAAAAGCAGAGAAATGCCCCTTTGGGTTTTCTGAACTGTCTTAAAATGCTTCTATTCTTCATGCAGATATCATGATGAAATTGTTGACTTACTCACTTCCTTCCTTCCTTCCTTCCTTCCTTCCTCCCTCCCTCCCTCCCTCCCTCCCTCCCTCCCTTCCTTGTAAGCAGGGTACTCAATAATATGGTTTGATTAATTTGTTTTATCAGTTATTCAGTTCTGTATGCATTGTGTTTACATCAATTTGCACTTTAAAAAAGTAATTCAGTTCTGCATTAGATATAACCTGTATGTGTGTGTGTGTGTGTGTGTGTGTTTAGAATGCACAAATGCACACACTTCTAACAGGCTTTTTGCTGCGTATGTTTGCCATCCAAATCACTTCTTCCAATTCTTCAGCCCAATTTTTAATTTCCCGTGTGACGTCTGAGTGAAGGCGGGAAGCATTGGGCAGAGCTAATTAACTCGGGGGTATTTACAAAACCCAAAGGGCAAAGATGCCCTTTCTACTCTCATGCCAACCTTGCAAAAATGAGAAAAAAAACATGGTGCTGAGCAGAAAATTTGTGATTGTCCCTTGCAATAAACCAGGCAAACACATGTGTGTTCCTTTTTACGGCTTGCAAACACCCTAGGAGGGTCCAGCCAAGAAGTTTGCTTTGGCCTGGGGGCAAATTGTGTTGCTAAATCGCACTTCAGCTTCTTCTGCCTTATTTTCCATTTTGTTTTAAAATGAAACAAAACAACAACAAAAAAAGCCACCGGATTTGGTCAGGTGAAGTCAGTAGTAACAGCCAGTGGGAATTGATCGGCAATTCTCATTTAGAGGAGTAAACAGATGGATTGCAGGAGGCAATCACACGCTGGTACAAACACAAGGTGGTGTCTGGGCCTGCAACCGTTCCAGGGGGAATGAAGCAAAACAAATCAATGCTCAGGCTTTGGGGAGAGGAGAAGGAGGAGGAGACAGGGGCACCAAGGTCTGTGAGGTTTGACCACGAAGTTAAGGTACGTGGGGTCCTTGGTGCTCTCTGAGCTTGGTGGTTTTTTTGAAGATGCTTCATTACCAAACTGGGTACCATGATCAGTGCTAGAATGGAGAGGAGGAGGAGGAGGAGGAGGAGGAGGAGGAGGAGAGTGTGGGTTCCTTGGTGCTCTCTTGGTGGTTTTCTTGCAGACGTTTCATTACCAAACTAGGTGACATCATCAGAGTTCACCCTGAGCTCCAAATATTCTCTTCTATCAGTGTTAAGATTTACTTGACAACGTTCCCTTTCAATGAGTCTGCCATTTCCCTGGTTGGTCCCTTCCAGCTCCCATCATCCCCACTTCCTCTGTCACTTTGGAAGGAAACTGATCAACAGATCTCACTTCTCTTGGAGGCACCAAGGTTATTGAACAGGGTTTCAGATCTAAGTCTCCAACTGTAGAAACAAAGATCTAATTTCCTGGATCTTCTGGCTTCTTCTCTTACTGAGCTCTTCCCTTTTCCTTTCTCCCTTTTCCTCCCCCTTTGTTTATTTATATGTTTATTTATTTGATGATGGACAAGTCTCTGCAGTCTTCTTGGGAAGGTATTTTTGGAAGTGGTTTGCCATCGTCTTCATCACAATCTCTTTCTTTCCCAGCGTCATGAATGAAAGTGCCAGGGTGGTGTGGTGGTTAAGATTAAGGTGGTGGTTAAGGCACCAAGCTAGAAACCAGGAGACCGTGAGTTCTAGCCCTACTTTAGGCCCCAAGCCAGCTGGATGACCTTGGCCCGGTCCCTCTCTCTCAGCTCTGGAAAGCAAACAGTGTCAACCCATTTCTTAAAAACCTTGTCAAGAAAACGTCAAGGACTTGCCCTGGCAGTCTCCAGGACTCAACCCTTCCTTGAAGACACCAAACAAACAAAGATATACGGTATATTGAATCATTTTCGCTTTCCATTGCATGAAAAAAAAAAAGCCCAGAAATAATGTTTGGAGAAGCTCTAAGAGCCTTACTCAAGACTTTTATAGATGGTAAGTCTTAGACTGCACAGTTGCTGCTATCAAATCTATGAGACCATTCCCTGATGGGAGTAATGTGTGAATTTATCTATTGCTTCAACTGCAAAGCCATTCCAGATGGTAGCCCTTTTATTTAATATCTTAGAGCCTGGAGGGATAGCTGGATTGCAGTGATACGATCTCTCGACCTGTGAGGACAAATAAATGATTTTGTAAGGGAGCAAGGTGATAACGAGGCATTCAGGCTGTGACATATTACACTATCGGGGATTTGGGAAAAGAGGAAAATCATAAACCAAAGGTTGCTATACTTCTCTCGTTTTTTGGGATCAAACTCTCTCTCCACCATCATTGTTTCCACCTCAACCCCTTCCCAGCTGCCTTGAGCCTCTGCAACGCCATATGTCAGGTGATGCTGCCTCAAGGTGACCCAGCTGGGAAAAGAAGGCAGCTGCATACCAACCTATTCTTGAAGTGACCGTTTTGAAAACATCTTGCTTGAACCTGTTCATGGTGTGTGCGTGTGTGTCAGTGGTGGGAGGCAGTGAAGGGAGAGAAAAGTTGAACTTGGGGATTTTGGCATGCGATTCTCAGTTCTGGCTATGCATTACTGTGATACACTTAACTTCTAATAAAATTATACCTCTGTCAGCAAATGGAGCCAAAGATCATTTCTGTTTAGAGGTTGAAGTGGTGGCAGGTCTGACAGCCATGCAATATTCATTAATATTCTGCCTAATCAGGCTGCAGAAAGAGGAACAGTCACATTATATTGACATGAGTCCAATATCTAATCTTCCAATAACTAAGGGGCTGCCACAAAGAAGAGGGGGTCAACCTCTTCTCCAAAGCAGAAGAAGGTAGGACAAGAAACAAGGGATGGAAACTAATCAAGGAGAGAAGCAACCTGGAACTAAGGAGAAACTTCCTAACAGTGAGGACAATTAACCAGAGGAACAGAAGTTGTGGGTGCTCCATCACTGGAGGTTTTAAAGAAGAGATTGGACAACCATTTGTCTGAAATGGTATAGGGTCTCCTGCCTGAGCAGAGGGTTGGACTAGAACAAAGGTCCCCAACTTTTCTTGGTTGGCAGCCTGAAAGGATCGGGAAGGACAGGCACCTGTACGTGAACGGGGCCATGAGCTGGCACGTGACACAAATGGGGCCGTGACGCATGCGTGATGCTTGCGGTGACGCTAGCGTCTGGAGCAACCCTTGGGGCGATGCTAGCGTGAGTGTGGGGGTGAGCGTGCAGGCACCTGCCCTTCCCTTTCCTTCCAATCCCTCATGTGGCCCAGTGGCCAACAGGCCACGGACTGGTTTGTGGGCCACAGCCCACAGGTTGTGGACTTCTGGACTAGGTCCCTTCCAACTCTGTTACTCCGAGTCAAAATTTCTGGAAGGCTTGTGTAGCCGGCCTCAAAGAGAGCAGGAAATTGGAGAAAGGAGATGCCAAACACCAGGGGAAACCTGAAGGTCTTATCAGATTTGAAAGCTGATCAGATCAAGGTGGGGAATGATGCCTTCAAAGCAAGCAAATATTAAAATACAGACAGCGGTTCCAGCCATGCCTCACATGGATGTGGAAAGGGTTGCTGTCATGAGAGAAATCAAAGGTCCTGATGTGCTCATTTGCATTCACGGTGTGCATGGCCAGACTGCCACAAGTGTTAAGAGCAGCCAGTACCAGTCTCTGCTTATTATTAGCTAATGGAGTAGAATATCTGAAGACTGGGGTGGGGGAAGACCCAGCTGGATCCTATTGTCTCTCAATACGCATTTTCCAAAAGGGAAACAAAGGAAGACCACATTCATTTGAGCAAGCAATGTTCTGATCAGAGAGTCTTTGTTAATGACTGGGCT